AAGAATCGAACCAGTGGGTGCCGTTTGGGGTGGGGAGGAGAGCGTGCCCAGGAGCTGCGCTCGCCCACCGGGTCGTCGGACTCACGTTGGCCACTCTGATTCAGTGCTTCCATTGGGAGAGGCTCGGTGAACAGGAGATTGACTTGTCTGAAGGAACTGGAATCACCATGCCCAAGGCCAACCCCTTGGAGGCACTCTTCAAACCTCGTAGCTCCATGATTAATTTACTCTCTCAACTTTGATTTTCAATTACCAATTAATTATCATCTGTATTATTATATGTACGTTGTAATACCATGCATCTCTCTCATTTGTACTCTCGTGGGAATAAAATTTGTTCAATTTGTCTTTTAACTTCCGTAATTGTTTTAAAAGAAGGGATGCAAAATTAATTTTACCGGCAAATATAATTTTGGTCTTGAGATGTGGAGATCATCAAAGTTTGTAAAATAGTTATAAATAATCCTTAAAATGGACCATTAGAACATAGTTCAACAAATTAGGACATATGCATCCAATTATGAGATTGAAAATTCGAATTCTCATCTCACATAGTATAATAAAAAGAAAACTTTTTAAAATGAGTTGAATAGTTGAATGTTATTTGATTAATGTTACATCGAGAAGACATCGTGTTCCATTCCTCTTCAATTCCGAGCACCAAACGCTCCCTCTCAAAATCAATAATCTGATTGCATTGGAAAAGAGAGAAGAAGGAAGAGGATGAAGATGGAGAGTCCAATCACCGTAAAAAGGACAGTATTAAATTAACAATACTTTGTCAAATTAGCATTTAAATTTATTTTATAAATTTGAGAGATAAAAACAAGTAAAGAAGTATTTTTAAAAATTTTAATTTTAATGTTATTTTGGTTTTTGTTGTCATTAAATACTTTGGCGGGAAGGGTTATTGGATTGGAGAAGAGCCAAAGAGGCAGTCAAGCGAAGAGAGGTCATTATCGAACGAAAACATGGACCACCGGATTGCGGTGTCCTGTATCGATTCGTAACAATTTTGGCACTTTTAAGAGGATATCTGTAGAAATTATACTCGTCCCAAAATAAAAACTCAAGCTTTGCTTTGTCAACAAAATGGATGTGATAATGTCATATGGTCTAACTTGGCCTAATTTTCCATTCCTACTTATCTTTCCAATAGATATTT